CGACCACAGGGTCAATAATATACAGAATAAAGTTTAGAATCAAAAGACGAAGTCCGGTGCCGCGAACGCCGGCGGTCACCTTGCTCAGCTACGACAACAAATCCTCAACCAGCTCAACCCGCTACCGGGTAACCAATACCTGCATCTGCACGCGAGGTGCAGGGAGTAAAGTGAGTACTCCAACTCAGTGAGTAATAAAGGTAAATAATAACTGAGCAGCAAGAAATCACGAAAGGCACTCCATCATGCTATATAGAACAGTGCTACCCTTTGAGAAAACAGTAAAACCGTGAAATCCTTTAGAAAATCTATCTGGGCTCAGTTAAAACCTCTTTTGAAAATGTCTTTTTCAACAGTTAAGCAAATGAATGCGAAACAGATAGTGTAAGTCAGCACATAAGTCAGCCCATCGGGCACAACACTCCATCAACAAATAACACCAGGGTATCAGGTAAGCAGTGCAAGAAGTAGCATAGAAGCCAATGAAATGCGAGTGCTGAATGTCATGACACGTAATACAAACAGGAACCAATGCATGAGTGCAATGCAATGCATATAACCGCTGCGGCGTGCAGCCCAAGCCATCCATATTTAACGTCGACGACGCTCACTGGGGATGTGTACAGACTCCGGAGGGGCTCCTACAGCCCAAGCGCAAATAATCAAGCCATCTCATGGCACCAACCAGGCCCTCGGCCTCAATATCAATACAATACCGCTGCGGCGCGCAGCCCGAGCCATCCATATATCCAGAAATCACTAGCCCGATCCATGCTCAGTCCAGAAATGCACATAAGCCACTTGGGCAATATCAAAATAATGGTTCTCAGCTCAAAACGTCAATAAAATATTGTATAAATTTTCAAATCTTAGAAAAATGGCTGAGTCTGCAAAACAGTATTAAAACGCTGGACCGAGATCAAATAATATGCAAAGTAATGCGAAAACAGTGATATCAATCCCTGAAGGATTCACATAGTTGGCACGAAGCCCAAACATGGCAATCAACCCAAATTATGATGATAACAAGTAGTTTAGTCAAATACGTAGTAATTTCATCAATCGGGACGGACCAAGTCACAATCCCCAACGGTGCTCTACCCCACGCTCGCTATCCGGCGTGCAAGTCACCTCAATACAACACCGTGATGTGCAAATCCGGGGTTTCAAACCCTCAGACTATCATTTACAATCATTACTCACCTCGAACCGGTGAAATCTCTAGCTCGCGACGCCTTTGCCCCTCAAATCGGCCTCCACGCGCGTCGAATCTATCCAAAATCAGAGCGAATACATCACAATATGCTAAGGGAACAGTACCCAATCGAAAACAATCGAAAAATAGCAAGAATCTCGAAACTAGCAAAACCCGATCCCCGGGCCCACTTCTCGAAAAATTATAAAATTCACATCAATGGATTCCTCATCTCGCCACGAGTTCATACATACCAAGAACTCCCAAATCCGACCTCAAATGGCCCTTCAAATTCCAATTTAAAAATCCCAAAACTCAAGCCCTAGTTCTTCCACTTTTGGCTTAATTCCATGAATTTCTAGGTGGATTTCACAATAAAAACGAGTTTTAAGTTCAAAAATCTTACCTCCAATCGATTCTCCTTGATTCCCTCTTCAATTTCCTTCAAAAAGCTCCCAAAAAGATCAACAATGGAGGAAAAATGACCCAAAATCGCGGAAATGAGCTTTTAAAATATTCTGCCCAGCTCTATTTTTTTCTTCTATGCGATCGCGGCCTCATGCACGCGATCGCGAAGAGCAAATTCCCAAGCTCCCAAAAATGTGCTATGCGAACGCGAGAATGCCCCTGCGAACACGAAGAAGAACTTACCTGGACTCCAAACACCTCATACGCGATCGCGAACAGCTGAATGCGATCGTGAAGATTCACCCTCAGACCCTCTGAGATCGCAGATGACCAAATGCGAACGCGATGAACAAATTTCAAGCCTCCCGAATTTCTCCTATGCGATCGCGGCATCACCCCTGCGATCGCGAAGGCCAAAGTTTCTGCAACATAAGAACTGAAAAACCTGCAACTCTCAAGAGCCAAAATTGGTCCGATTGACCATCCGAAACTCACCTGAGGCCCCCGGGACCTCGACCAAAAGCACCTACATGTCTTAAAACATTATCCAAACTTGTTCCAATCATCAAAACACATCAAACAACGCTAAAACCATTAAATCACATCGGATTCAAGCCTAAGTTTCTTATAAACTTCCGAAATGCACTTTCGATCAAAAACCCGACCAAACGACGTTCGAATGACCTGAAATTTTGCGCACACATCACAAATCACATAACGAAGCTACAGCAACTCTCGAAATTCCATTCCGACCCTCGGATCAAAATCTCACCCATCAACCGGAATTCGCTAAAATACTAACTTCGCCAATTCAAGCCTAATTCTACACCGGACCTCCAAAATCAATTTCGATCACACTCCTAAGTCACAAACCATCCCCCAAAGCTAACCGAATCACCGGAAATCACATCCGAGCCCTCTAACGCAATAGTCAACATTCGGTTGACTTTTCCAACTTAAGCCTTCCTTAAAGAGACTAAGTGTCTCATTTCTTATCAGAACCTATCCAAATCAATTCTAACACACCACATACCGATAAAAAAACATGAAGAAGTATAAAATGGGGGAAACGGAGCGGTAACACATGAGACAACGGGTCGGGTCGTCACATAAAGTTTCACCCCCTGTTGTTGAGACTCACTGAGTACAATGGATGGTACTGACGTTCTCTTTTTGGAACCTACGTTGGTCTGCGGTACAACGTAGGAACCGGATTTGCAGGCGAGCAGGCTACGAGTTAGGACTCCCTTCGCTTCTAGTGCTATTGGTGAGCTCCGCTTTTATTCGTGGAGTATTCCTTAGAGTCATCTTTTTCTAGTTATTTCTTTGTTACTTGGAGAATTGGCCAGGAAATCTCATGTCCTGAGCAGTGCGTCAGTTTATCAGTAGAGGCTTCATAGACATAGTCAGTGGGTTGAGATTCAGATGTTATTTTATAATAATTTAGCAGTAATTCTGTAGTTACTACGAATAAAGTTTTGGAGTTGATTTATTTAAATATTCGAATTAATCAAAAGTATTTGGTTAGAGTATGGCTTAGTTGCATATAAGGTTTGGAGTTATAATAGGTTTGATAAGCAGAGATGGTTCGCTCGGTTATGTTTAGTGATCGAGTGCCGGTCTCGGCTTGCTCAGAAAATGGGTCGTGACACTGATACTCTTTGGAATCTCTTTAAAAGCTGTGAGGTATCTAATGGCATGAAACTAAAATGTTTTTGAAATAACAATAATAAATCTTTCACTAACAAATTTAAGCATTTACAATTCTAAGTACCACTTTTTATACTTTTTAACTAAAGACTAAAAGGTAGTAAAGTCTGTACCTGGTAATATTATTATGACCGATAGGGAAGATAAGAAATGAGGGTTGAAACTTGATCTCCATCGTTCTATCAGAGAGATTATCATTGCCAGAAAAGTTACTAGCAACTCTTGTCAAAAGATCAGCTCCATTCCACCTCAATTGTGCGTCGTCATAAGAGGCATAGAACTCCTTCAAACACTCCACTATAAAAGGACTGCAAAAGTTGTACAAGAAAGTGAATCTTGGCCATAGAGTAGACAGAAGAGAATATACTTTACATCCTTTTTATACTTTTGCTACGGAATACTCGTATTGTCCTGTCCTTTTCCCACAATACACTTTAAAGGAAGCACGGTTTGAGGTTATTCTAATTCTAAAACGGAATCCTTTGGTAGCATTTTCAGGCTGCGAAGGACAACTTGAACATTACTTTTTTTTTTTTTTAGAATAGTGGTGTGTCCAGGGCGACTTGCATGCACCTTGACTAATCCAATGGATAGACCTCCCACCAGCAAGTACAACCAAATAGTTTGTTCTTTTGTAGGATGAACGAAAGCTTTATTTCCTCTTTTTAATTATTATTATTATTATTTATTTATTTATTTTGGGGGGAGGGGGGTTGAGTGTAGGGCTATTCATTCGGATCGGATATCCGAAATCCAAACCGATCCATTCAATTTCGGATTTCGGATTGTGTTTATTAAAACTTCGGATTTCGGATCTGTCACACCTCCCTTTTTACACACCTACCCCGAAGGATAGTGTATAAGGGAGTTTTTCCAATTTAAGTGACATTATTCGAAATGGGATTATTTATTAATTTCAGAGTCATCACTTGGGATAGGTTTGACTTTTGGTGTCCCAAGTCACCGGTTTATTTTGAATCCCAAATCGAGGAAGATTTCGACTTTCCTTGTGAAGTCTGCGAACCAGAAATTTTGAATAAGGAATTCTGTTAACCCGAGGGAAGGTGTTAGGCACCCCCGGATTCCGTGGTTCTAGCACGGTCGCTTAAACTATCATAATTGGCTTATTATCTGATTTTAAAACATGTTTCAACCTATAGTGCAATTTTAAATTATTTACCGCTTTTATTTAATTTTAAGGAGAATTGCAACGTTATTAAAACATATCTCGAACCACGTCACATAAATGCACCCATGGTTTTTGATATATTTTAACATCGTTGGGACTTGGATTTGGGTCACATAAATGCGCACCCGAGTTTAGGAAAGTACATATATTAAAATGCGCGCCTAAAGCAACTAACGTGTTGATAACTTTGCGGGAGGCCATGAAAATTCACTAAATGGCACGTCCCGAATTCCAAATATTTCAATAGAAGTAACTAAAGAGGGCCACGCAATTTATGATTTTTATTTGACGCGGCGCACCTCAAATTTATTTTAAAAGGACATTTACCTTGGCACATGGAATGCCATAAACTATTTGTGACCTAATTGTGGCATAAATCCAATTGTTTAAAGGAATCTCAATTAATTAACTACGTCCAAGTATATTAATGGCCCAATTTTAAAGCAAAACAAATCTACAATACTCCAGGCCCAGTTGTGATCAGACGTGAACTGAATTATGGGCCCTGTATTTGGGCTTAGCGCGAAAAGGCCAAAGTCCAGCTATGGACCAGGCGCAACTCAGCTTGAGGGCAATATTGAAATGAGGCCATGGGCTTCAGCTGAAGCCAGGCCCAGTGGTATATTCACAAAAGGACAATCAGTAATTTGGGCCTTCCCTGTTTGTTTTGATTTATCTAGCCCAATGTCCCAAACACAATAGCAGATAATGCAATTTCAAGAAGCATGGAAACTAATTAGAGAGACCTAAAGTATGGTTTAAATTCTGTTATACAAATTAACTAAGTAAAACAAATTCAGTTCAACAGGCATCTTGAACTCAGATCTGCTACAGCTAAAGCACATGTATTAATTATTTGACAAAACATACTGGAATCTGCAAAATATTAATCACTTCTCTTTGTTTTCAAATGACCTACACATTTATTCGTTCACATATTGATAAACTAAAATGCTGATTCCTGGATTTTAACAGCAAATAAGACTTCAACTGTTACAACTTTATAGAAATTACTCATGGATTGGAACCTGAACAGCTACTGAAATTTTACCAAATTAACATGAATCTAAGTGCTGAAAAATTTCTAACAAACAATCCAATTATACATGTTATACCCCATTTTAACACGGGTCAAATCTAGAGTATAACATATTGGTAATTCTGAAGGTTTAATTGATTAAAAAGAGTCGCCACCTAATTATTTTATCGGTGAATTAGGACACCATTTTACTAAGTAATTCTTAAAGTTAACTCCGTTTTTATGGTCTGCTTAACCTTGAAATTATGGGTAAGGGTTCTAATTAATCATATAGGGAAGGTTGTAAAAGCATCCTACGTGATCCGTAATTACGGTTAACCGGCCAAACTTAGATTAATAAATTTTAAAACTAAGTGGTAAACATTTGTAAAAAAAAATAAAAAATAACTATCAATTAGAAAATACATGTATAACAGCGTTAGGTTGGAGAAGTGAGTCATTACAAAACTATAAGTCCATGATAAAAAATAATTACTTGATATAAACAGTTTGGATATTAACTTTTATATTTTAGAAAAGGCTTTTCCATAAGAAACTAAAAATTTGTCATGAAAGTACTTGATTTAAAGAAATGAGTGAAACATGAGAACTTAATCTTCTGAAGGTTTTTGCTATTAAGAAAGTACTAAAGTCACATTCTTTCCTTTAAGGAGAACTTTCAGTTTTGAGATAAAAAAACGGAACATTTGAAAGCTGTAGTATAAAATATTTTAAGTATAATGAATCTTCAAGATAGCTAATTTTGAAAGCTGTAGTATACTCGGATAATTCCATATTTTACCTCAACATAGAAGATTCCAAAACAAGATCAATTTTAGTTAAGCAGCACTCTCAAATTAAAAGAATCCAGTCTCGAGGTAAACCCAAAATACACAAATAACTTAACAATCATAAAAATATTAGACAAGAATAGAGTGGCAAATGGATTGAAAGAAGAAGGACGCCATAGACGTCCCCAAGCGTTTCGCTTGTTTTCTTGCTATCAAGTACACTCTAAGGAAGATGCCATGTGATGACTCCATGCTCGGGTAGTGCTGAGACTCCATTTTTGCTCCAAGTGTATATGCAAAAGGAAAGAAGAAGAAAATTAGAGGCGAATATTCAATACAAGAATGAAGCACGCAAGACAAGAGTATAACTATTTTCTTCACTCTGCAATAGACAAGAAACCCAAGAACAGTAGCAAATCATATACGAACAGTTTTCCAAACTGGAGCACTATGTTAACATATCTTTTAAAAGAGCAATGCTCCAGCAAAGAGGAGGTGTTTCTTACTTCTACAAAAGCTTTTTAAATTAGCACATATAAGATACCAACTTCTAATAGCAAAAATATAGGTGGTTACTAGTATTTATTATCAGATAAAGGCACATGTATGTTTAACAAAAAGTTTTAAGTCCTAGGGGGACATGATGTCTAAAGAAAAGTTTAGCAGTAGATAGGCTTAAGTTTATAAAATTCAAATTTTATCTTAGTGTCATGACAAAAATATTTATATTCAATAATGAAGGTTCTAAAAACTACAACAAGTTCTGATTTAATTGTCATCAAGCAATAAGTCAAAGTTTTAGCCCAATAGGCATGAATTCTAACAAATCTCTTTTAGAGAAAAAAGCTTGAAAAAAAAAATTCAGCACTTGAGATGAGCAAAAGTGATAGATTTAAACTTATATTCATGAGTCAGGTGGATTAGATTTTGCCTTTAAAAAATTCAAGAACAAAATATGGATTTTTTATTTAAAAGCTATGCAATTTTATGAGCATGGTATCTTAATACAAATTAAATATAACTATGTTAGCTTCTTAGAATATTAGATCCAAATCAGAATGTCCTATGCTCATGACACTTATAAAATAAGGAAAACATAATAAACTAAAGCTAATATGCAAATAAAATAGAACAAAACAGACTTTTCACGTAAACATTTGGTCAAGATATTAATGGGTCATATTTCGAATTATAGGTTTAGAACGCAAGTTTTCTTAAGGACATAATCTCTAGCTTAAAACTCCAGAACATGATTTCTCATAAATTTCAAGACACAGAAATATATATAAATTGAATATATACAATGCCTATTAACATACTTTCGACGACATCAAATTTAAAAGGGGCTATAGCTCGAAATCACTAACCTTTTTGTGGGCAGTGAACGGGGCATTTTGCAACGGCTATTCACATCTCCGACTCGAGCCTCTTTTNTATTAACTTTGCGGGAGGCCATGAAAATTCGCTAAATGGCGCGTCCCGATTTCTAGGTATTTTAATGTAATTATTTAAAGAGGGCCATGCAATTTATGAATTTTGTTTGGCGCGGCGCACCTCGATTTATTTTAAAGGCCATCCTAAAAGGGACTATTGTTCTCTATTAAAGATTATCTCTAAAGGCCTAATTAATTAACATTATGAATTAATTATTATTTAAGGTATTCGAGAAAGTTCGGGCCTCAAGATCAAGTCCAAATTCAAACAAAAGAATCTCCATTATTGAAGACCCCCTTAATTCAAATTCGCTACTTATCTTGGAAGGCCCAAGCTTGCACGATAAAATTAAACCAATAAATTTTAAAAGAATTCGGGCCCTTAGCATATTGGGCTTCAAGAACTAGCCCAAGCATGAGGAAAAGATCATCAGCCTTTATGAAAGGCTGTCGCGTGTTGGGCCCAATTTTGGCTCATGAGGAGCCCAGTTTCGAAAGTCCCTATAGACTAAGGATTTCCATACATTGGGCTTGTGATTTGATGGGCCTGAGCTTAGCAGACTTAAACAGTTAGCCTGGCCTAATTATTTCAGGACCTTTTATTATGCAACTGGGCCAATATTAAGCTCAATCCTTACCACTCTAATGGTCCTGGCAGTAAACATACTTGCTATACCTCTTTTAAAACTAAGAAGATGATATTAAATTAGACAGACAATAATGGTGGGCGTATATTAATCCTGTTCATGTAAACAATCCTAATGGCTAACATTGATACTTTGTTTTTCAATACGCAGCCAACGGGCATACAACAGCGAAATGCATCATTTTAAAAATAGGAAAATGCATTTGAAGCATGGTGAAGGCTTAAGATCACTAACATTGATATAGGCATAGTACACCTGTAACCATTCTCATGAAAATTCAAACTAACATCTCATTTAAAATTCAAACTAACAGGAAACCAAAACCAAAATCAACTACACTAAGCTAACACTATTGAATATCATACTTGTATAATTTCCGGAAAAGAAACAGTCCAATTATTACAGCTATAGGAAGTCCAGGTCATTTAAACCTCTAATACTACTAATGCATAAACCTAGCATTCAAACTAATATGCTTGCAAGTGACTAGCATGAAAATAACGTGAGTAGTATGTCATTTCTTCAACAATCCAAATACATTTGCTGATTCAGTTCTTCACACATCATTTGAGGCTAAACAAAATACCTGGAAATTAGAAACAAAGTGAGGAAATAGGAGTCAGCTAAGTAACAGTGCAACAACAGGTGCAGTTCAGCAAATCTTAGCAGATTCCAAGTCAAAAATCCAGGAAAAATAAAGGATAGCGTGCAGTAGATTCCAAATAACTTCAAACCACCAACAATCAGCTGAATTTGAAGATCAAGCTTGATGAACCCAGGCAATTGAACAAACAACGGATCTGAAAGGATTTTAACACTATATTTTTGTTGATTTTCAAGATTTTGGGTTTCTAGGATCTAATATTTTTGTATCTAAACTATCTATTTCTACCAGAAATTTTTTTGGATTTTTCAGTACTTTTGGATCTGAATTTTTGAATTTTTCAGATTTCTCTAAGCTCTAGGATTTGAATTTTGATTTTTTTCAGAGTTTTGGATCTCTCTAGACTGCTGAAACTTGTATTGAATTTTTTCAGATCTCTGAACTTCTAAAACTTTTCAGATTTCTCAAACTTTTTTTTGAATTTTTCAGATCTCCCCCCCCCCCCCCTCTTGCAAGGCCAGGGGGCATGCCTTTTTAAAGGCAAATACTATTCAGATTTTGTTTTACACCCTAAGTCCCTTATTTTGTGACTTCTTGCCCAAGTTACTACACTTAAATTCCTGAATCTCAAATTAGAACCCCCATCTAGAAGGTTCTAGGGGGTTCTATTTCAGTTATTGCAGGATTCTCTTAATTGAACTACCTATACTACCCCTACATTGGTTCTAAAATTACTAACCTATGCTAACCCCAGACCCCTTTTAACTAAACCATGGTTACTTAACCAGGACCCTAGCAATTCAGCAATACTCAGACAATCCTTCGATTAACCAAATTAAACTAAACCTATTCTTAATCCTAAATTAATCCCTATCAGTTCAAATTAACAAGCTATAGGCAATTGTCAATCAAACATGAATTTAGGAAAACAAGTAAAAATTAATCAATCACACTAAGTCATGAACTTAAACTAACATCAATAAGAACAGAGAAGAAATCAAAAACTTAAACTAACTAAACTACAAAACCTAGAGTACTGATTACTGCCAGAAAAAGAAAAATAAAGCATAAAGAAAACATGAATGAATTAACAGAAACAAAGAAAAAACTATGTTAAAACTAGTTTTAATACAAAGAAATAAGAGAACCTCACCTATGCAAGGATCG